GCCGTTTTTTTGCCTAAAAAAATCCGAATTTTCCCCATTTTTTGTGGCTAAAAAATTCCAAATTTTCTCCATTTCTGGATCTTAAAAATCCGATTTTTCTCCATTTTTGGACCTAAAAAATTCCAATTTTCTCCATTTTTTTTGGCTAAAAAAACCCGAATTTTCTCCATTTTTGGACCTAAAAAAATCCAAATTTTGGCCGTTTCTGGACCTAAAAAATTCGAATTTTCTTCATTTTTTTGGCTAAAAAATCTGAATTTTCCCCATTTTTGGACCTAAAAAATTCGAATTTTTGCCGTTTTTTGCCTAAAAAAAATCCGAATTTTCGCCATTTTTGGACCTAAAAAAATCCGATTTTTGGCCATTTCTGGACCTAAAAAATTCGAATTTTCTCCATTTTTTTGGCTAAAAAAATCTGAATTTTCCCCATTTTTGGACCTAAAAAATTCCAATTTTCTCCGTTTTTTTTGCCTAAAAAAATCCGAATTTTCGCCATTTTTGGGGCTAAAACCTCGGGGTTTTTTGTGTTTTGGTCAGGAATTTCAGGAATTTCGGGAATTTTGGGAATTTTGGTCTCACCGGGGCGGGGTCGGGCTCGGGGCAGGAATTGTCCATCAGGATCAGGCGTTTGAGGTCGTCCTCGATGGAGGATTTGGGGACGCGCCGGGGGGAGCGAAGATCCCGCAGGGACGCCCGGAGCCGCGGCTGCCCAAACACGTTCACCTGCCTGGGGGGACAGAATTCCAGAGAAAATCACAGAATTCCCACAAAATCCNCCCGCAGGGACGCCCGGAGCCGCGGCTGCCCAAACACGTTCACCTGCCTGGGGGGACAGAATTCCAGAGAAAATCACAGAATTCCCACAAAATCCTATTAAAATCCCAGAGAAAAATACAAAAATTCAAAAAAAATCCCATTAAAATCCAAAAAAATCCCATTAAAATCCCATTAAAATGGAATAAAAATCTCTCAGATCCCGGAGCAGCGGCTGCCCAAACACGTTCACCTGCCTGGGGGACAGAATTCCAGAGAAAATCACAGAATTCCCACAAAATCCCATTAAAATCCCAGAGAAAAATACAAAAATTCAAAAAAAATCCCATTAAAATCCCAAAGAAAAATGCAAAAATTCAAAAAAAATCCCATTAAAATCCCATTAAAATTGAATAAAAATGGAATTAAAATCTCTCAAATCCTGGAGCTGCGGCTCCCAAACACGTTCACCTGCCTGGGGGGACAGAATTCCAGAGAAAATCACAGAAATCCCACAAAATCCTATTAAAATCCCAGAGAAAAATACAAAAATTCAAAAAAAAATCCCATTAAAATCCGTCAAAATTCAGGAAAATTCCATAAAAATCTCTCAAATCCCGGAGCCAAACACGTTCACCTGCCTGGGGGGACAAATCCAGGGATAATCACAGAATTCCCAAAAAAATCCCATTAAAAACCTCAAGAAAAACACAAAAATCCCAGAAAAAATCCCATTGAAGTCCCATTAAAACCCATTGAAATCCATTACAATCCCATTAAAATCCCATTAAAATGGAATAAAAATCTCTCAAATCCAGGAGTTGAACACGTTCACCTGCCTGGGGACACAAATCCAGGGAAAAATCCAGAATTCCCCAAAAAATCCCATTAAAATCCCAGAGAAAAATACAAAAATTCAAAAAAAATCCCATTAAAATCCCATTAAAATCCCATTAAAATCCCATTGAAATCCATTCAAAAGCCATAAAAGTTGAGTTTTCCCACCCCAAAATCCCATTTTTATTCCTCAAAATCCCATTTTCCCTCCCAGGTTTCCTACCCNCCCGCAGGGACGCCCGGAGCCGCGGCTGCCCAAACACGTTCACCTGCCTGGGGGGACAGAATTCCAGAGAAAATCACAGAATTCCCACAAAATCCCAGTGAAATCCCAAAGAAAAATACAAAAATTAAAAAAAAATCCCATAAAATTCCCATTAAAATTGAATAAAAATTGAATTAAAATCTCTCAAATCCCGGAGCCGCGGCTCCCAAACACGTTCACCTGCCTGGGGGACAGAATTCCAGAGAAAATCACAGAAATCCCACAAAATCCCATTAAAATCCCAGAGAAAAATACAAAAATTCAAAAAAAAATCCCATTAAAATCCGTCAAAATTCAGGAAAATTCCATAAAAATCTCTCAGATCCCGGAGCCAAACACGTTCACCTGCCTGGGGGGACAAATCCAGGGATAATCACAGAATTCCCAAAAAAATCCCACTGAAATCCCATTAAAATCCCAAAAAATCCCATTGAAATCCCCAAAAAATCCCATTAAAATCTGTCAAAATTCATGAAAATTCCGTAAAAATGGAATTAAAATCTCTCAAATCCCGGACCAAACACGTTCACCTGCCTGGGGGGACAATTCCAGAGATAATCACAGAATTCCCACAAAATCCCACTGAAATCCCAGAGAAAAATACAAAAATTCAAAAAAAATCCCATAAAATTCGCATTAAAATACATTAAAATGGAATAAAAATCTCTCAAATCCAGGAATTGAACACGTTCACCTGCCTGGGGGGACAAATCCGGGAAAAATCACAGAATTCCCCAAAAAATCCCATTAAAATCCCAGAGAAAAATACAAAAATTCAAAAAAAATCCCATTAAAATCCCATTAAAATCCCATTAAAATTGAATTAAAATCTCTCAAATCCCAGAGTTGAACACGTTCACCTGCCTGGGGGGACAAATCCAGGGATAAACACAGAATTCCCAAAAAAATCCCATTAAAAACCTCAGGAAAAACACAAAAATTCAAAAAAAAATCCCATTAAAATCCAAAAAAATCCCATTAAAATCCCATTAAAACCCATTGAAATCCATTAAAATCCCATTAAAATCCCATTAAAACACATTAAAATGGAATAAAAATCTCTCAAATCCAAGAATTGAACACGTTCACCTGCCTGGGGGGACAAATCCAGGGAAAAATCCAGAATTCCCAAAAAAATCCCATTAAAATCCCAGAGAAAAATACAAAAATTCAAAAAAAATCCCATTAAAATCCCATTAAAATCCCATTAAAATCCATTCAAAAGCCATAAAAGTTGAGTTTTCCCAC